GTCTCAAAGTGAGAAACATAGCATTCAGTGTTTCCCAGTTTCAAAAAGTGAATTCCCTTTTTCGGTCTGCAATCTTACAGGACCAGTCATCTTTGGATACCACTGAACAGCAAATAGAGAAATGATTGCTGTCATTCCTTACCCAATGTGTCTCTTTAAAAAATTGTTTTTAAAATTTTCTTTTCTGTTCTTTTTTTCCTGTGAGAGACAGAATATCATAGTAGTTAAGAACACGGGTATCAGACTCCCAAGGTTTGAGTTCCAGCTCCTCCGCTTATGGGCGCTCTGACCTTAGATAGATACTTAACCTCTCTGTGCCTCAGTTTCCCCATCTGTAAAATGGAAACACTAATAATAAGCTCCATGCAGGGTTGTTGTGAAGGCTGTTAGAGCACTGTTAGTTCCCATGAAGTGATGAGACGATGTCTGAGCTGTAGGAAGGCACAACACATGTTACACATGTTAGCTTATTGTGATCTCTCATTTATTTTTCACCTGCCTGTGCCTAGGTTATACATCGGTGGTAGCTAAGGGGTTGGACTCAGTAGCCGTAGGTAGGGCCACGTGCCAGGCATTCTGTGGAGGCAGCTCGATAAACTCATCTGCTCAGGGAGTCAGTGGGTCTGTGTGCTGAGAGGCGTGGACATTCTCTTTGCTCAGCCCTGCTCCTTTGGGCCTAGTAGGCAGGCAGGTGAGTATTTTAAAAACAAATTCCTCGGCAAGATGAGATTGTGGGCCATCTCGCAGGCAGAATAAGAGCTGGACTTTTGCTACAGAAGCAGTGTCATTTTGAAGTTACTGTCTTCTCCTTTTCAGATACTGTCAGATAGTGTTGTAAGCTTGGTTTTTTACCACTCGTCAATTAGTGGAATGTTCCATCCTCTCATAAATACCTCTTAGGGGACTTTGTTGCTTTTTAACCCCAGAATTTAAACACAAGAACACTATGTAAACATGAATATACTCAACGGATAAACACTCTTTTAAATAAATAATAAATAATAAAACTCTAGTTTATCAAGCGTATATAAAAATATTTAAATATGCAGCACTGGGAGAGCAGTTACATTTTAGCTTCTCAGATGGACAGCTAATTGCCCGTAGAAGAGAATCTTAACTGATGTGAATTACAGTTATATCTTATTTTAAAAAGAGGAGTCACATAGGTTATATAAACGCATAGAGTTCTAAAGACCAGGGTCATTTGAAGATCTAAGCAGAGAAGAGAAGGATCTTGCCCAAAGCCCTAAGGGGAG